ATATATATATAGGGACGCGTGCGGCGCAGTGGTTGGAAGAGCCACTGCCACACATACGTGGAATCGATCTCCGCGTCCAATGCCCGCCAAGTCTTCCAAGCTTCGGGGTCGGCAAATTGGTACCAGACTTATCTGGGAGGATAGCAGCACTGGCTCGATACATCCGTAGGCTACCGCGAGTCATTGTAAAGACCAAATATGCATTCAATTACCTCCAACGATACCTAATGAAGTCGAATGCATGAGCATCCGTCACGGATCGATCAACGCCGAGAGCCCTATTTATTACCTTATGTATATATATACCTCAAAGATTGATGCGCAAATACTAATCCGCAACATTTTTTTCTGAATAACCTGATATCACATGTTGCGCACTTCAATCATTCAGCTCGTTTTCTTTCATCCATCATCAACGAAGATCTACGAATTTGAGTGTAGATTTAGCTACCGTTTAAGAGTTTCTGGACTTCTTCGTGAATGGCCTTCAAGGCTGCTGCTCTGGTCAATTCTGCCTGGAATCCTATGATATCTACGGTTGTTGTTCCGAAGTTTCGCTACAGGCACTCTCAAGCCTTTGTGGATTGTGAGGAGCCATTTCTAGACGGGCAGGGTCGAGCCAGTAACATTGAGTAGATTAGTGCACGTACGTAACCTCTGAAGACTGCGCTTCCCATGTTCGTAATCAATCATATTGGCCACACAGGCGGATGGAAAACGAAGAAGATGAAACGTCTTTTAAGTGAATTTCATATCTATAACGACTTGGTTTCAACGACAAACCTTGAACACACTCGATTTTGGCATCATCCATTTGTCAAATCATAAGGAGCAATCGTTTCGACACAATTTTCATCATCGACAGATGCTTTTTTAGAAGAATATCGTCTGATTGTTTCCAGAGAAATACTTTCACTGCTAAGTCTTATCGGGAAACCTGCCAACGTTGTTGAATAAACTGGTATTTCTAGGAATGCTAGAAGGAAACGGAATGATTGGATTGATAACGATTAGGCGTAAGTCGAGTACAAGAGTGGTAGTTCTTATCTATCACAAAACGCCCACTTATGAAACCTACTGAAAATCACCTTGTACTTGAGAAAAATCGCACATATGTTACCGATCGGCCACTTTCTCGAGGTATTATGCTCAAGGCGCAATTCGTTATCATGCACTGAATGAATCTGATGACCTAGCGAAGAAAAACCCTACTAAAATTGCGTATGAAGTCTTCCTTCTACCAAGGGCATCTTCCTAGATGTCTCAAGAATGATTTTTGGCTTTGTTACATTGATAAGACAACGACAGCGACAGACATCATTAAATAAATCACCGAACTTCAGTTAGTCTTTCGTTGTGTCGTGTAACGCCTTCTTTAAATTCTCAACACACGAATCCCGAATGTAGGGATTCTCGCGATCACAAATGGATTGAGATTTTAAAAAATGATTTTCTTCGTATTTTTGTTGAGCAAACGCGAGGTGTTACTATTCTTTGTTCACGATTAAGCTGACGTTTCGGCGAATTTCGCCTTCCTCAGAGCCGCTTTCTATGAGGTTTCCACTAAGTATGTCACGTAGAGACCAACCTCACAGAAATCACGTGGAAGTATAATGTCATAGAAAGAGAAAGCATAGAAAGCGGCTCTGAAGAAGGCGAAATCCGCCGAAACGTCGGCTTAATCGTGAACAAAGAATAATAACACCTCGCGTTTGCTCAACAAAAATACGAAGAAAATCACTTGATCAATGCCGAGGTTAATAGAAAGTCGGTCGTGGCAGTTACTTTAAAAAATGACTTGAGTTAGCACTTTTTTAACATCGTGATAGCACTTTGTACTTATAATTCGATAAAAGTACTCTTCATAGAATTCGTGATTGAAGTCGCAGCTGTTCACCAACGATGGCCGCAGACCAAAGTGTAGCCTTGCGCTATGGAACGCTTTTAAACACGCTGACTGAACATTCAACCTTTCAGTTCACTTTCGGGATTGTAGCACTTATGGAGCTTATTTTTTCCGTTGCACCACAAGGGTGGCAATTGCCTGTGGTGGTGAAGACCTGGGGCAGGTTTTGGCCAGGCTGACCTCGGCACTCCAGAGAAACGCAATGGCTAAACCAGCAAAACTCCAAAAACTAGAAAATATGCGGGGGCTCACAGAACCAGTGAGGATGGGCCGTCCAAGTATCCAGGTAGGTTAGTTTTCACCTAAAGAGTAGGACACGGAAAGAAATATGGACAAAATTTAAATAGTGGTGTAACTTCACACCAATAAATAGTTGTTATATACCGAAGTTTTCATTATATCTCATTGTGGTTGCGTTCATTATACCAAGATTGCATGGCTAAACTTAGAAACGAAGGAAAAACCTTAGAGAATTGCATTTCATTAGGCGAAATCTCTTGAACGTGTGTTACGCCTCCCATGTTTTCTTGCTTTCCCATGCATTCTTTCGACAGTGAAAAAACAGTAAACTGCAGGCGATTGGTTGTTGAACAAACATCAATCGGACTGTTTGATAAGAATAATGAAGACAAGAATTCAAAGATGTAAAAAAGGATTGATAAATAATAAGATGTGATGTGACACTGTCGCTCCTAAAATGCTCTGTAACCTTCCGTATATCACTTAGTTAATTTGAACGGGGTTTCATTTCACTAAATCCTCAGAGCAGACTTTTCCACGTAATTCTTCGCAATGCACGATTATATTAAGAAGCCCACATGCTCGACCTCACGTACCTGAAATTCTGTGTGGCATAACCACAATTATGCCGAGATATTTGCAAAACTCTGGACAGCAGAGTGTCTGCTGTGGTGATCGAACCCATTATTACCCTTTCCAAGTAGTAAAGTGTTCACCACCACCACACCATGCCGGTCCTTCGTTCCACCTTTCCCTCAGTTGTGTTTCAACCTATAGGTGCCATCAGCAATCATCCGTCAACGGGATTGATCTGGTGAGCACAAATCAGCATTGAATCCAGTTAAGCTATATTATAAATCACAATGATGATGTTAATATCATGTCTGTTATTTGTGTGATGTCACAGTGCTAAAAAATTTCAGACGTACCTTACCCCATTAAGGATGATGCACATTGTATAGAATCGCACGTGTCCGAAAAAAATTTCGTCCTTAAGCGATGAACGACAAGTTTTCGGAGTTGAGCAATCCTTGAGGAGTTCGTCATGCATTCGATTCCACGCTTCTTTTCTTATTTTTGCCTTACTTCCTAGTCCTCGTGCATTACTTCCCAGTCCTACTTTATGATATGGACTAAACAGTTTGACTGCTAACAGACAACCTCAATACAAATTTTATAACTAAATTTTAGATGTGGTGCAAATTCGAGTACTACTCCTCTAACTCACCGAAATCTTTTTTAGTTTTGTTAATGGGCAGACGCCTGGTTGTTAAAACCATTTTTGTTCGACACTGGCTAATATTTCGGAAGATGTCGCCTTCTTCAAGGGTAAGCTCTTTGTTCATCAAAAAAACATGAAACTTCAGATTAACGAATTTCTTTCAAATCTTCTAGAGCTATAATGCCTTTAATTTACGGACTCATTCTTTCGAAATTACCATACCTTCCAACGTTCACTCGTGATTTCCGACATGCTTTCTGATTCCACAATGCTCTTTTTAGTTAATTATGTACGCAGCTTAATATTTACGTCTCCATCATCTGGTGGCATCTGTAACTCAGTCGTTTAGAGGTGTAGAGGGAGCTATGCGATACATAAGTAGTCACTGATTCGATCCTGCTCCCTTAGCTAATCTAGTTCACCAACCATCCGGTGTCGATAAATTGGTACAATCAGACTTGTCTAGGAAAACAGAAGTACTGACTTTATACGTCGGTATGCCGTCGCAAGTCATGGCACAGGTCATATATGCCATCAACCACTTCTACGCTTTATTTCTTAACCACCATCACCCAACTCCAGAAAAATCAAAATATTTACCTCATTGTCGCTAAGAAGGTGGCAATGAATTTGAGCGTATGGGTTCAGATCACCAGTACTGTTTAAAGAATAGAGAAAAAAACCCATGAAAGCGAAGCTCTTATTAGATGTAAGGCGAAGATATATTGCTTTAGTCTCTGATTATGATTATCGTCCTTAACACTTCCACGACGAGTGACCTCTATGGGAGGAATTTCGAAGTTGTTGAACTGGTCGGTTTGGTCTCCATAGGTTTCACTTCCTTCCCAGTGGTTTATTTTGGCACATAGAACTGTTTTCCTATACGTTTTGCTACCATTCGATAGTTTGTAAAACACAGATGTGGAATATGAACTGAATGTTGCTGAGAGATGAGCAAATCCCGGAGTTTCAGCTCGGCTTCGAACCCATCATTATCCTTTCCCGGGTTCATATGCTATCCACAGCATCTACCGAGGTCCTCACTTTGCCTTTCCTGTGAGTCTGTTTTCTACTCTAACGAGGCTACCACCAAAAATAAATGGAGGCAAATGAAAATATTACTGGAAAATAAAAGTGAGGCAGACAAATAATAGAGAATAAACAATAATAATAATAAATAGGCTAATGAAAGTTAAATACTGTAATTTCTATTGCAGCTCCAGCTCGACTGGGTTCAACGCCGATTTTTGCTTCCCAGATTATTCTCGTTCACGGGTGATTGCTGACAGCACCGTAAGGGTATTTCGCCCTCTAGTAGAGGACCATAAGGATGCCCAGCAGCAGAAAAACTATAGCTTTGAAATTCCCACTAGAAGATTTCTACTAAGATTTACTGAAAGAAACTGCATCCAAAAAAGAGAGGATCACTAGGACAATATGATAACGCGAAAACATAGCACAACCGAAGGAAACATCATCAAATATTACAATATTTGAACTCTATGTCATTAGCACACACGTGGAATCGATCCCTGAGCCCACTCCCTTTATTTCCAATGCTTATAACCGAAAAGATGCACAGCATTCGCCTTGCTCAAAGCTGGGATTTGGAACTACTCACTATAGCCACTGGGAACCATCGTCAGCTACCTGAAATACTGCTTAGATTTTCTAAACCAATCCATATCTACCATCAACATGAAGGCCTCTCTACACGAAGTCTGAAGAGTCCATGATTGTGGCTCAGTAGATCGCAGTGGATTCTCACGGACTGTGTATTATTAAAACTTCCCTAATGGTATCCCGTCTACTGTTGTAATCCATTACATCCAACAAATGGCAAATTACACCCAAAACGCGGCACACTATTCTGTGGAGTTAGGAAAATAAATTTTGAAAAAAGCGTAGTTATAGTTGCCACCCCAAAAATCCATCATTGATAAAATGTTCCATTAAAACTGGTTTAGTTCATCTTCAGCAGTTTGGTTCAAGAACTTCAAAGAAACCCATCTCAACTCACCGTGAGTTTCCGTTTGGAACAAATACCACTGGGATTTACTGATCTTTACTATTACTTCTTATATCCTATCACGATGAAACTTCAACCCTTTGGTACTCACAACCTACTTTTCCCGAACTTCTTTTTCGCATAGGCCTATATGTTGAGCAGCGGATAGAACCGAACAAGCGCAAATCGGCTCGGTAAGATATGACCTTCTGAGCCATACACTGCCAACTACACGTGCTACCTTGCTCGCCTCAAAAACCTTAAGAATTGTCCACTGTTTCCTTTGATACTGTAATTTTTATTGTTTGATTCCAAAAAGGCTAAACATCACGATATATCCCTCGGACAATATAGCACTATATGTTATATCACAGGTTCCCAAGTCCCACACTGCCTTGCATAACGAGAAATTATTTGTAGAGTATATCGAAATCAAATAGAAAGACGAAGAAATCAACACGACTGTGTAAGTGTAAAAATGTTTTTACTGCAAATCCAGTGAAAACCCAGGACACTCCAAAATAAATGAAGCAAATCGTTTTGGCAAAATTGACAAAATAACAAGCATACGGGAATTCGTCTCTTTCGAGATTAAAGGCAAGAACAGAACGAAATAAAAATACCATAGCCTTATGATGGCAAGACATAAGAAGTTAAAACAGCTAAGTTAAAAAATTGTTTGTGTTATTTGCTTAAGATTTGGGTCGTAGCTGAAGTGATGAGCATTGAAAAGATCGGACGAATAGAAAGCCTTCACATTTTCGATTTTTAGTTGATGAGCCTAAAAACTCGAAAAATTTATGATCCAAAGTCCAATTCGACAAATCTTCCAACCTTGTCGATAAAATCCGACTCCGAAATAGCAATTGACGCCGTGCTGGCGTCTCGGCCTCTAGCAGCTTCGTAACGCAATTGTTCTTTCACAAGCTGTTTCAGGACGAACAAAAGTAATTCACTGGACGAGCGATTCCCTATGAGATACTTGGAGAATACCTAAAATGTCACTACTTCCAAACCGATTTTCTTTCAACTTTGGTATGATTAACCAATATGTATTCTTCCTTCGATAAGCTTACACGAGGTTGATAAACAATACAATCTATGTTTTCGGCTAACGCCTCGACTATCAACTCGGATTATCTGATGACTCTGATGAAGATGAAGGCATCGAAACGTTAGATGGAAACAAGTATTATTTATCAACCCCGTGTAAGCTTACCAAAGAAGAAGTACATATTGGTTAGTCAGTATATAAGGTAAATATTTTGAACATCTGCAATGGTACGAAGATGTCAGAGACCTAAAATAAGTACAAGAACGAAAAATGTTGCCAAATAATTTGGCGCTTCCCCTTTACCAAGTATAAATTCTGAACCATAAAATGTCACCAACCTTATTCATTTGCCGCATGATTGACGCTTTTTGTGTACTAATAAAGCTCTCAAGCATAATTCTCGTTGCCGCTTGAATATCATCATCATTTACATACCTATGCAATGGAAGGCATTATTTTAAACAAAAACACAGAACACAAGCATCATGAGTTAAACTAACGATCTCAGGTACACTTTGGCATGTGCCTCTGCCAAACGAATCATCGATTCAACATGACGAACGGTGATTGCGACCGAACCGGTAGCCTGCAAAAAGAAACCCTAAACTCCTACAATGACCTCATATTCCATGTTAGTAAAACTATCTCGCCAAAAAACGATCAGAAATCTCATATCAACGCTTCACACACACCATACTTTGCTTCCTCATTTGTGCAAACACCGACGCTAGCTTCTCAGAGTATTTCTGATCGAGAGTAGGATGACACTTATCCCTTGCGAAAAGAATATACTTTCTTAAAAGATCTTGAGGTACAAGTGCTACTCCGGTGCGAGCATCTACGTCGTTCTGAATGAATGAATTATCAGCAGCATGAAGTCATATGTGATATTACAGTACGATATGTAGCGCGGTACCCTCTCATTTTCCTTATCTTCTTTAGCATAGTCTTGATGATTAGGATGCAGTTTCATATGATTCCCAACAACAAACTTTGACAACCTAGAAGTAACAAAGAGCAGTAGTCAATATGTAATCTTTCTTTGATGAGCTTACACGAGGTTGATAATAAAAAAATAAATAAATAAAAAAAAATAAAAAAAGAGCAGTAGTGTTTCCTCGCAAGAAAAAAAAGTGTTAGCATGATTCTACAATCCACTTCCTAGCCAACATCCACATCGATTTCATCTTCACTCATCCTTGCATATTGGCCACTGCCTGTTAAATATAGGATCTCGACGTACCTCTCATCCTCAACAGGATCAACTGTATCTCTTATCACACATAATACGTCAAAACGAGAAAGAATTGGTTCCGTTAAGTCTACATTCTCAGCAAAAGTACGCGAAGGATTGTAGCTAAACAGGTATCCTTGTTGACTATGTAAGAATTACTGGAAAACTCCAGCACAAAACATGTTCATTATAAACCTACCGTCCTCCGATGGGATTAGCTGCAGCAATAACGGTACACCTAGCATGAAGTGAAGTTACGATACCAGCCTTAGAAATTGAAATTGACTGCTGTTCCATTGCTTCGTGGATGGAGGTGCGGTCTTGATCAGACATTTTGTCAAATTCGTCGATAAGACAAACACCTTTATCGGCGAGAACCTTTAAAACATATCAAAACTCCTTATGGCCCTGATTTGTTCGCACATAATAATAACATATCAGCTTTAAAGATTTGCTGAGAGAAAGGCAGAACGAAAGTCCCGGGAAAAGGTAAGCGCGGTTTGATCTGTCCTATGGTCCAGTTTTGCAAATATCTCAGCATCATTGAGGTCTTATATGAGTTTTATATTACGAATGTGCGAACTCGATGCTATGAAATTTTACCATGGCACCGGCTTCCAATGTCCATTCACGAGTGACGGGATGACGCTGGACGTACGCAGTCAGCCCAACGGCAGAAGCACCTTGTCCAGTTGTCAACACTGCACGTGGGGCTGTATGAGCCGCAAATCGTAGAAACTGTGACTTTGCAGTTCCAGGATCTCCACAGAGAAGAACATTAATGTCTCCTGAAAACATAAAAAAGCAGAAAAGTAACGAGGAAAAGGATTATATCAGTTTTCAAACCAATAAAATCACCTCTTAACTTGTGCTTTTCACCCGGATTTTTTGCCTCTCCACGAAACAGTGCCAAAGCAATCGCTTGTTTCACAGATTCGTGCCCGTAAATCGACGGAGCAATAGACGCAAAAATCCTTTCAGCGATATGTGGATCCTTTGAGAGCTCACGAATTGCCTTAAGTGAAACAATGCCACCAGGTCGCAACCAACCAAAACATAACTGTTCACTTGTAAATTCCCACCTTCATATCATCGTCAGTAAGTTCGCTGCAAGCGAGTTTATCTTTATTTGCGATATGGTTAGCGTGAATAAGTGTGTTGAACACAGGAAAACCTTGCTTGTAGTTTAAAGCTCCGTCGAAATTATTCGAATAAATTCCAGTGACCTCCTATAATAGAGTTCCCACAACAGATTTTGATAGACCAAAGACAACTGTGTAACTTACAATCTCATCGCCTGGTCTGCAAGAATCACAAAGATCACCAAGCAATATACAATCCTTTGAACGAGGCAAACGACCAGCTGCTACCTTATTCGGAGACTCTTGGATAGTAATACGCTGATAATTGTGATAGACGGTCTGAAAACCTAATCCAGTATGCAATGAAAACTGTGTTATATTAGGATGATGGAAAACCTCCATAGATTGTGGGAAATTGGGGGTGAGAAAGCAAAACAGGAATGAGGACATATTACAGAGCCAACGTATACGTACATTCTCAACATTGAGCTCAAATGGACCTCTCCCTTGACATGATGGACAGATCGTCGGCTTGACCTCATCGTCTTCACGTTGAACAAATGGACCAAGTATGTAGCCACAAGCAACGCAGTCGTACTTCACAACCGACAACTGTGGCAAAATACCTGACAAAGTGATTCAGAATAGACAGAACAGTAAGTCGAAATCACTTGCTATCTTTTACGTACCTGTAGCAACAGTCACGACACCGCTTGTTTTTATGAGCATATTCAAATGTATCTGTCGAAGCATGCGGATATCTTCTTCAACTGGTAAATGAGTTATTCGTACCTGAGACCATATCAATCATAGTGAGTTAGTAATCACTCATTCCCAAAAACTTACCTTGACTTCTGCACAGACACGCCCATAATAGGGGTATATCGTAAGGACAACATCAGTTGCGGCCTTATCCAAGATCCTTAGCACCTTAAAGCTATGCATTAGATTTAAAATAGAGAAAGCTATTAAAAAGATAAAAGATAAAGTTCTTAGCGTTTATCATTCCTGAGAGGTACGTCATGCATTCGATTTATCAAGCATTGCTGGACGTGACTGAGTTCGTATCTGGCCTTTACAGTGACTCACGGTGGCCTACGGTTGTATCGAGCCACTACTGCTTTCCTCCCAGGCAATATGGTACCAAATTGCCGACCCCGAAGGGATGGAGCGCGTGGTGGACATGGAGCGCAGGGATCGATCTTATGCCTATTGTAGGGCGCCTCCGACCACTCAGCTACACGCGCTTATGGAGAGATTTATTAGAAGATACAATTTAAAAGTTGTTGGAGGCGTTTCTGACCTCGAAAAGAAAAGCAGGTCAAGGTCTTATCGTACCCCATTTTATCTCCTCTCTGAACCATCATGGTCAATATAAATTACATTAACCATATGTGGCAGAGATGGATAACCCTACAGATGTCGAAGACGACAGAAGGAAGAACTATGCAGAAACCTCAGACCTGAACAGGAGCTTCTGGCAGGAAATAACAAATGTTTGGCTCCCCATCTTCATCTGCTAAGTCACGGAAATCAACTTCTAATGACTCTTTGTTCTCGGACGCCATTTGACTCATAGCCTAAACTCGTATTTAGCATTAGGGATAAAGCTAGATTAACTACTAAAAAACAATAAGAACCTGTAAGTACTTCGCCTTTCTCGTCACTGGATCTTTGAACGCACGCAGGAAATTCTTGAACCTTCAAAGAAAAATAGAACTAGGAAAAGAAGCTTCAATTTCAACCATATACGTAGGATCCGTAGGAATACGTAGACACTACGTAGGATCTCTTTGGCAACAAGAAACCGGTCAATTAGTTGGATCAGTAATCAAGCAAAACGAGAACTTTCTACCTTCTTTCTATCTCCCTTGCTACTGCCTCATCCGAGACATGCTCCTTCGTCGAACGACCTCTCAAGTTTTCCAGAATATCGATTGGAACCTCCTCTTCCATCGGTACATCCTCAGCCTCACCAGCCACAGGTACACGACGCCTTCTTCGCTGTCTCTAAAGAAAGTCAAGAGTTATCAGTGAGAAGACCAGACTGAAATCAAAATGTATTCATAGATGCCTGCTCGTCGTCTCCTTCCTCATAAAACAAAGCATCGTCATCCAGAAGCTGATCTCGCTGAGCCATCTCTCTCTCTGCTGCTTGCCTCGCACCTATGGACAGTTCTTCCAAATCAGACGCATCGTCCATCCCAGACTCTGAGTAGACATCAAGCTCCGGTTGTGGACGATAATCCCTATAAACGATTGCAGACAATCACAACCGGAAACCATAGAAATGTTACGGAAAGATAAATATCAACACAGAAATCCATGTACGTCACCTTTCCATATCATCCCCAAACAGATTTTCTCCTTCTTCGTCCTCAACGTCACCATCCTCGTTATTGAATAGTTCATCGATGGCATCATCTTCGTCATACTGTCGACCTAATGGCTCTTCTGAAGTAAATTTCTATGTAACATCCTTATAAAGCCAAAGAAACTTCGACGCATAACAATCTCCTTATAACCAAACGCAATAACAAGTAAAAAATTTGAGAACTAACCACCCTGTCCAACAGAACTGTCTTCGTTCCTCGATGACATTCCAACGTTAGTTGGTTAGTATCCAAATATCTGGAAATAGAAACTACGACGAGTAGAGGCCAAGTTAGTTTTAAATACTAGACGATATTAAATCTTCCCGCGCTTCTAACGCTCCGGGACCATCCTTTGGCAGACATCAAAATGTCCTTTAAGTGATCCAATGGAAACCGGACGCAATTAGTACGTAACCAGAAATGGTCGTCAGTTAATAGGTTAACATTTGTTTACTGAATAAATTTCCCTACCAATAGAGGCGTTAATGAGCAACTTGTTTATTCCACAGTCGGGAATAGACTTCGTCGTCTTAAAGGCAGTTTTTTTTCATCTACTTCGAAATTTCCGTGGAGTGGAGATGTTTCTTTATGTTGAACCATGAATGACAGCAGAGAATCATATGCTTGTCAGGGTCATCTAGGTTAAGTTCAGAGTCATTAGGTAGCCCTCATAGGTGCTGACGAGTTAGAGAGAGCTATGTGATTTGAGGAATTCTTGAAGAAACCGCATAACAGGTCAGTAAATGACTGATCCACAGCGCTCTGTATCTATCTGTAATGAGCGTTCTAACTTTGCTACCTGTAGGTTTTTGGCCCAGAGAGTTTGCTAAACCAGAAAAATACTAATCCAGCAGGAGCTCACCCTCTAACGTGGACTCTTATAAATTTTTAAGCAGACAATGCACTTAAGAAGTAAAATTTTTGTAATTTCCGCTTCAGGTGAAAGTACAAAACTCGAAAAGGGTCTAATTAACCTCACTCAGAAATATTTTGAGGCGCCTTTCCTGATTCTCATCCTGAATTCTACATGTTTCCAAGAAACATTCCACTACCGCATATCCAAATCCTTACAGATTTTACGAACAGTTCTCCACTAAAAACATTCACGAAAAAAGCAATGTTAGAACAAAAATAAGTAAAAATCACTGCAGCTACGCAACAGCTATGCGGACGAGTTGTCACGTCTAAGGGCGCTATTAGTGGGAATTCAAAACTCCTCGAACGCCATCTTAGCGTGTGGGATCCATTCTTCATTGATCGTCTTTTTTGTTGTTTTCTGGATTTTACCACTAATGAGTAAACGTGATAACAAACGTAGTTCCCGTAAACGACGATCTAGTGAACTTAGTGAGTATGAAGCTTCACCGAAGGTATTTGTTATCGTGGTTTTCTTTCTGTCACTTTTACATATATCACTTCTCACTTTTCTTCCCTTATATTCATTTACTGTTTAGCACCGCAGATCAAACGATACTTCGACTTCCTTTTTATCAATCGATCGCCCATTTTCTCCAGCTGCTCTTGCAAGAAAGGTTTGCTACTCATTCACAAATTTCTAGATGTTCTATTGTATTTGTCATATCTAATACATCTTCAGATTGGTTTTTTATGTGTGTGGAGTGGTTACTTATTTTTTTTTAGCTTGATGAGTTACGTGCTGATATCCTTACCGAAACAGCGGACGAATTGTCTGCTGTAGAGCTACGCGGTTTCGATAATAAGGCTAGCCTTAGTTTCTAACACGGTGTCGCCTTCATTTCACCATACTGACTTTATTTAGGTGGAAACAGAAGAAGAGTACGTGAAGCGGAGGGAGGAAGTACGTCGTCAGCTTAGCAATCCGGATGCTTTTGATGCGAATGTCAAAACAATACTGAATTATGACGATGCTGCTGTAGCTGGAGCTAAACTACTGATTGATGAAACTCGGGCAACTAGAAGTATGTGCAAGAAGTGAGTGCGTGAAGTTCCTAGTTCCTTCTTTGCATTTGTATCATTTATTATGTTTCATGCTAAGGTTTTCATTGCAAACATGAGTTTCCAATGAATAAAATGATAAAGCTCGTGGCATTGATCAATCCCTGAGGGATGCGCCATGCATTTCACTTTATTAAGCATCGCGTGGAGGTGATTGGACGCATATCTGGCCTTTACTTGCGATTCTCGACCCGCGGTGGGTTACCAATGTATCGAGCCAGTGCTGCTATACTCCCACACAAGTCTGGTGCCAGTTTGCCTACCCAGGAGGAATAGAGGGCTTGGCGGACTTAGGAAGTTGGGATCAATCCCATGTGTACTCAGGCTACCTGTAACCACAGCGCTACATACCTCCTTTTGAAAGTTCCCAATGTTCATAGCAACATTACCATCTTTGAGCCATCCTTCATTACGAGAATACTGTTCCGTACATGAGTATAAATTTGTACTAGTCTCAATTTTAGTACCAAAACGAAGTACTAAAAATAGGTTTTCATTGTCATCCTGTATAATACAGGTTATTGGAAGATTGTGGTATCAAAGAAGACCAAATACTGTACAAACCGCTTTCATACGATGAAGGAACTGACTATCAGTCTGCTAAGCACTTAGCAGAGTATGTTTTCCTTTTTCTTGTAATAGTCGACCCTATCCTACTTTTTCTGAACTGCTTGATTTAGCTCAAGGCAAGCATCTGTCGTAGAGTCATTCGTGGATTTTAAGAAGCAAATCAAGCTCAAATACCAGGTCCTGAACTGCGTGGCTTTGAGAAACAGTGGTGAGTTTAATAGATTGTTTCCTCTTAGTGATTCATATGAACAACTAATTTATAGACCAGATGTCTAAATCTGACGGGAGGCTGACTCGTCGAGCTCTCGAGGAAACGAAGGAACTGCAAAGAAGAAAAGCAAGAACTGCAAAAAGTAGAAATACTGTCATGCGCACTCCACGCAAGAACCCTCATTTCGATCCTCTGGATGAGAAAAAGGTTGCCAAAGAATTTTAATGGGTGTGAATCAGTCCGCTGTAGTCCTTAACTGCTAGCAACATTACTAAGTTCCAGATCATCGAGAAATACGCCTTGGAGGTCGCATCGGATGTTCATGGCAGCCGAAAGCGCCGTCGTATAGCTCCTGTTCCTTTCGATATCACTCTCTTAGACGATATCGACTATAGCTTTAGTGGTCCAGTCTGAGGTACCATAGTTTCTGTGAGTTCATGCAATGTCACATAGTGTATGTTATAATGTACCACCATGTGAATTTTCTTCTTGTGTTTATACAATGCCGTATGTCATGTTATGTACAAATGATCTTTGAAGTGTTGACAGATTTATGTATGTTCAGGAATGTATTTGAGCCCGTTTGCCATAGTATGTTCCGAAGGAATATCCTACTTATGGTTTACCCGGTTTAGCACTAATACTAGTGCTGCACTTGATCTCTTTCAGGTAAATGTAAAACGAAATGTATTGGTAATCATATCATGCATACTGTCTGGAGTCGTCAACATTGATAATCATAGGTTTCCATTAAATGTGCAATTCTGATGTCACTTAGGTTTTGTTTCTTTTGTGCTGGCAAATGAGAGCGTAATCAAATAAAGTATTTCATCAAGGCAACAGTTCCACTACTACCGGCTAAAAATTTGCAGCATCTTGCCCCTTGAGAATTGCCGAGCTGAAAAGCGTACTAGAATTAGAGACTCAGAATTAAAAACTGGACGGAATTTTGTCGCTCAAGATACCTTCATCAATTCCGAGGCTGTATGCAGTGTTTTGTACATTCTTGATGTATTCGGCGAGTTGATCAGGTGTCAGACGACCAAGCTCTGAGAACGATCTTTTTGGTTCTTACAGAATGATATTCGAGCATAAGAAGAGTATTACTCAGAAGGTATTTGTGCAGTGATCAAATATGGCCCACTGTTAAGGAGATTAGTACAAGAATAGTATATAGATAGTGACGGGAAGAGTAAATTCTCTGTGGTTGTACGCATTAATAACTTGTTTGAAGTTTAAGATGACAACAACTTCACATTTCTTCATCTCATTTGAGACAAGGATATTTAATCAGATTGATAAACGGTCCGATTTTCCCACCCCTTAGAACACCTAGCACAAGTATCTCAGGAATCCAGACAGAATCGACTCCACCCTTCAGTGATTTGCAGGAAGACCAAAATACTCAGACACCAGCACAACCAACGCGCAACTCGGACAACCTTCGTGGTTGGTGGATACCAGGAAACGAATCAGATGAAAGTGCTGAGATCCGCGTATTATGTGGTCTCTTATCACATAATAAATGGTAAAACAATGGAACTAGCATGTGGTCGGAATCAAGGAGCGCCCTGGGTTATGAGATCCTAGAGAAAGAAAACGCCAAGAAGGCAGCAAATAACTACACGATGGGACTTTAACGGAAGCCCGTAGGACTCCTCGCTATTTGTCAAGGTGGGCCGTTTAGGAAACAGGTTTATGGGAACCTGTATGCTTTCATTGTCTCAGGAACGGAAATGGCATGCAAAAAACTAATCATTAATCCTACCTCCAGTGCGCAGGACAATCAATTGGTATGGTATAAACATGGCAGTAAGACAGGAGAAAAAGTAAAAGAACAAGCTACGGTCATTTTCAGTTATCTATGAATATGCATTTGGAAAGCCTTTGTTTACGAAACGTCCGACCACATGTGCATTGTGCATTGAGCTGGAAAGGTGACATATTTCATTTATATGTTTTTATGGATTGATCTTTTTGACTTGATGCGAGGTTGGTACAAGTTGCCGTCGAAGATGGATGGGCTGTTCCGCTCGTAACAGCACGGCTCCAAGGAAGACGAAATCGCCGGGACGTCAACCATCGTCGAACAACAACAACAACCAGCTCAACAAGATCTATTCATAAGAACATATAAATAAATGTATAGATCGTCCATGCCGCGAGGTTTATAGAAAGTGAGCCCTCTGAGTTATTATGACATATTTCGATCGATGTCACGAAAACACGAAACTCTTGCCGTCGCTGTGATGCAACTACTTCTTCTTAATAAAAACAGCGCATTTCGTAAACCGAATTAACTAATCGAAGTTCTTACCATTGACAAGCTTGACATCATCCGGTGACAGATCAGTACGGAAACTCTTTTGTTTACTCGTGCACATCCCCTGTAACAAAACTTTCGCTAACTGAATATGGGAAAGTACGGGAATTTGATATGCACAACATATAATTAGTGTGCGACACAAGCTGACTTCAACTGACAGCGTCTACAACGAAAAACGGAACGTCAAACGTCGCGTTCATTAAAATAAATTCAGCGTTGAACTCTAACTGTTGGAAAAGAATGTTGAAATGTTCATTCTCATTTTTACTCTTTGTTGACTGCCACCCATACGAATATGTCCTTTTAATGAAGATGCGGATTTGTAGAATGATCCCATGAAAGCTTCCTTCCTATTCCCAAACAAACTTATCACTACAGGTTTCACAGATATGAGATTAGTGTGACAACGTAGAATTACGACAAGAAACGGCGAAGTTGCGCCCGATCATAACGTGATTGGGTATAATTAACAAATTAGGTTTCTGGATATTAACATAAGGATAAAAACAATGTAAAGGATAAAAATAAAGGACAAAGCTCTCGGCTTTGATAATCCTTAAGGGATGCGCCACACTTTCGACTTCATTAAGTATCGTTGGAGGTGATTGAATGCATATCTGGCCCCTACAGAGACCCGCAGTGGCCTAACGATGAATCCAGCCAATGCTGCTATCCTTCCAGAGAAGCCTGGAAGCAATTCGCCGACCTATGAGGGATCAGGGACGCGAGGATCGATTCCATTTGTATTGTCGGGAGCCTCCGACCACTGCGCGCCTTCGGACATTGTAAAGTGAAAGAATAATTCTCTGAGTAAATGTATTTGCAACGACTTTTTTCTTCATATACTGGGTTCATGTTTATGAACGTACAATTAAATACAATATTGAGGTCTTTCTGTACTTTGAGATAAAACTTCACCAAGAAATTCAAGAATACAAATGATCTATGGAAAACTAAAAAAAGCAGCAAATAATTGGTCTCTCAATGAGTCATTGAACCTAGCATTATCACTCCTATGTCATAAATATATGTGAAAAACATTGTGGGATATTCGAGCCCACCTAGATTCTCACCTCTCATCGCTCATGGGGTTATTGATTGATCACCACTTGGGAAAGTAAGGAGTAATAACTGAAACAATTAACTCACGTCATGTTCTGTGTTATGTTTTCCAGCTCCAGGTACGTTCTCGGGAAAGAGAATCGGTGACGGTGCACGTTGTAAGGATTCTACACATGTTAGTGTCTCTGACTGAACATCAGCTCTCGGCACGTTCATCTTAAGTCTGGAAAAGTTAAACAAGTGAACTGAACAATCCTTCGTAAAAAAAAAAAGTCAATAAAGCCAAAAGTACAAAAACTCAATAACGGCACATGAATCATGAGAAAGAAGAGCCAAAACTGAAGGAAAACGAAGAGATGATGTTAGGAACATGAAGGGAAGCGGGAAGGAAAAGCTGTAATGTGGTAGGATACACAGTTACTTCAACGACTAACTGCAGTAACCAGTTAAACCCAGTTGTTTCCCGGTCTAGAAAATCTTTATGAAAACCGATGAAGCTCCTTCAAACGCTTCAGAGTCACAGAAACTACCCACCTCGACATTCTTCGCCACGCAATCTTAACGAGATGCTAGGATAACGACCATGGGAGGATTCGAAGAAAACTCAAGAAACGTCGAGGAGCCCTCGAATGGAGGTCTTTACTTCCAGAACGACTTTATTCATTACTCATAAATGAACAAGAATTGAACTCAATACATAGCATTAGAGGAGAATTCAACCGATTCTACACGGCAAGGACACACCGTCATGCCCAATGTCCTTCAATATCGATCACTACGTGTTTGTCGTTTTACGTCCGTTCGTATTCACATTACTTTCCCTAATCATTTTATTTTTGAACTGAGAGAATTTCCTCACACTTTATGGTACTTTATAGTTTCTCATACCTTCTCTCTTCTCATACCTATCTTTTACAGCCTTAAAGGATACTAATATCGATTTTTCTACTCAATTTTCAGCCTTTTATTACTTAGCGAAACTAGTATCGAACCTAATACGATCGGTGGACTTAATTTCGCTCTTCTCTGTTACTACAACTTCCAGAAGAAAGTAGTTCTTTCCATAACAATCGAGAAGACCTCAGGGTTTGACTTGTATTCGAAAACTAGGCATTTCATGTAAAATTCGCCCAAAAATACCAACCCAGACCCTCACGAATATCCTTTGATTGGCTGTCTTTACCGATTCTTCTATGTGAACTTGTCAGTATTAACAACTGTTACTAGTAAAGTATTGCTCAACTACTGAGCGGGATAAATTACTAGTAAAATACTACTCAAATACTGAGCGGCATAAAATCGTAACTATAACTTGTATAGAAGGACATACTAGCTTTTACACGAGAATCTTCTATGTTTCTGATTTAGATAAACAATAAAAAGATAAAGCTCTCGGCGTTGATCAATCCCTGAGGGATGCGCCATGCATTTAACTTTATTAAGTATCGTTGGAGGTGATTGAATGCTTACCTGGCCTTTACAATGACTCGCGGTGGCCTACCGATGTATCGAGCCAGTGCTGCTGTCCTCCCAGACAAGTCTGGTATCAATTTGCCGACCCCGGAGAGATGGAGGGCTTGATGGGCCAAGGGCGCGGGGGTCGATTCCACACGCGTCCTTCTCTGATATGGTCAAAGTAATCAATACTAGTGCGTACAATCTAACTCTTACGAAGTTTCCTACACAAATATCCTATTTCTGTAGAAACTGACCAGTCCTTTTTTAGAATCACCCCTTATTTTCCATAAACTAAGACAAATGACACGAAAATCTCCAACGACACAGAGTTACAGTGGACATCCAGTTCATTTCTGTCAGGACATGACGTTACGACAGTGAGGAACAGTATATACTGCCACTTTGTAGAATCCAATGACAGAAACCGTACCGATCTCCAAGAGTTAGCGCAATCCGTAGAAGTAACTATGAACTAAAACATGCGAAAAGTGAAATTGACGCTCGCACTGCGAAAAAATCAATATGCATCGTCCATTGCGGAATCCGCTCTAGGTGACAACTCGTCCGCTTTGAACAACTCGAATGGAGAGGTTCCAATGCGATACTGGCTTTATATACGTTAAAGAAGTGTTTTAATGTGAAATAAGTTCAATATTGGCCCTAACATATCGATTGAATTAGACAGAGTTGTAATATTCTTGCCTTGCAACGCCCAATACGATTCTCATTTCCGATTGCTGTCTTAGCGCACGATAGATCCCATCCAGAATAACCAATATTTCCTTGGATGATTGAGCTGACACAAAGGTTATTATCGAATTTTTGTTCGCGTTGCTCGTCCACAGCCGGTCGTTCTCTCGTGGGTCTTTGTGGTCGCACCAAATCCAATCCAGCAAAATGGAGCATCGCTCATATTCCGAATTGGTTTCCCTAATGGGGACTATAAGGGCGCATGTGGCGCAGTGATTGGAGTCACCGCTATGACACAGACGTGGAATTAATCCCCGCGCCCAGGGCTCACCAAGCCCTTCATCCTCCCAGGGTCGGCAAATTGGTGTCAAACTTGTCTGGGAGGATAGCAGCACTGGCTCGATACATCGGTAGGCCACCGCGAGTCATTGTAAAGCCCAGATATGCATTCCATCATCTCCAACGATGCTTAATGAAGTCGAATGCATGGCGCATTCCTCAGGGATTGATCAACGCCGAGAGCTTTATCTTTTTTTTAATGGGGACTATCTGGAAGTACAATGGGAGTAGCTGTCTAGGTAATGTCGTAGTACAATTTTTAATGGCAGAGTATTATACGAAACACAACCACAACGTTGCTGAGATATTTGCAAAACTCCGGACCACAGGTGTCTACGGTGGGGAACGAACGCACTATTGTCCTTTCCGGGGGCTAACGCGTTCACCACCTGTTTAGGGATACACTACATACCTCGACGACATGGTTTACATTTGCTTCGATCCTTTTGTTGTACTTTTGTAGTTCCGTGCGAATCGATGAGAAATAAATGGACTGTTGATGTAATAAAACGGGTAATGTTTTAAGCGTCAATCAATCTCTGAGGGTGCGCCATGCATTTGATTTCAATAAGAACCGTTTGGAGGTGACTGAATGCATATCTGGCCTTTACAATAACTTACGGTGGCCTACCGATGTATCGAGCCAGCGGTTCTATCCTCCAAGACAAATCTGCTACCAATTAGCCGACCCTGGAGGAATGGAAAGCTTAGTGAGCTGGAGCGCGGGAATCGATTCTTTGTGTATTGCTGGGCGCCTACCACCACTGCGCTACACGCGTCTCTGTTGTTCATTCAAGGACATGTGCTAAAAGCGGAACAATAGAGAGAAGAGATGGATGTATAAACTACTAACTGGAACGTAAAGGGATTGTTATAGCCAACTGAATGATCATAATGTTCTTTCGATATATAAGTACTGTAACAGAATGCACGTAGGCGCTGGGATCTATCCCTAAAATTTGGCTATGAAAACTTTTCCAAATTGGGAAATGCCACTCTGAGGCCAGTGTAGTTCCTTCAGAGAGATCTAAAGGAACTTAAACTCAGGAACAACCAAGATTGAAGTATTACCATCGTTTAGTGGCACAATTCACGTAAATTGGAGAGTAGAAATTCTCATAAGGAAATTTCAGCATTAGAGAAAATTGGGAGGTTTGTCGTTTTCCAGCGTCGATGAACAGCAACAGGTTCTTTGCGCTCAGGTTTGGTGAACGGTGACTGGTTGCGTTTATTTTCTGTCCGTGAATGGCACGGAACGATTCTATTCTTGCCAGTACGAATGGTGGTGATTTATGTTTAACGACGAGATTCTTACTCGATGTTCTCGTTCTGTCGTGGGATCTAGAAGAATTGGAATAATACTATGCTAAAATCTTTTCCTGGAACTCATTTCGTGACAAAGCTGTTTTCGATAACTGTCGTTAATTTTTCTATCGGCTCAGAACCTTCAGAACCGGAGCACTTAACAGTCCTCGTAGAAAAGACTGCTCTATAACCCTAAGCTTATATGTGTATATATATTGCTTTATTTTTAAACAGCCAAAAGCATGACAGCCTTAGAAAACAGTGAGGCATTCCAGAACACCATTATTTCTCGTTGGACGAGATCTCGATTGTTCAATTGATTTCATGGTCAAAATATGAGCTTTTAAGTAGAGGAAAAAAGGTAACTATAAGCTCGAGATACCAGGAAGGGTTTGTGGGTTCCAGAAAGTGAGATTTTCATCGAGATAAAATCGAAGAGCTTTTATCTTGCATGTGAGGAAATGTATATTCTTACGATCCCTATTTCAATCAATAATGTTCAAAATGAGCTGAGATAGTTTCGTCTAGAGTTGACATCGTTCATCATTTTCGCGTCATCTATTTTGAAGTCGATATGCATCCTCACCAATGTATATTCGAAGAATTTCCTACATCTGCTTTCTCCTTCAAATGAAAAGATGATCCTTATCAATTTGAGTACATTGGAGTTCTTACTCAATTACCATGCATCAGTCTTTTCGAGAAACTTCGAAGGTTCTTCATAGAAATTTCGAATCCAAATCTATTATACCTAGTGAATGGAGTAAAACATATTGAGAAATCTGCAAATAGTTAATTACTGCGTAAAATTGCATTGAGTTCAGGTTTGTGCGATGTACGATGAAAATGAGTCATATTTGACTCATTAGGTCTCCAGCGTACTTATTGAGAATCGATAATTCTAAATACTGTCGTAGTATTTTTCAACTTTTGATTCATCATGCTTATTCCTTTTCATAATTCATATCTCAATTCTATTATGTTCATTCGAGGTCAGATTAGGCGCAAAGTAACGTTTAACACACAACGCGTTCACCATTTATTGATTACTTGAATATTCGAATGAACAATCTACTTTGTAAGCTTAACGATCCAAAAAGGTATTGAACTATTTTATTTGACCGATAATTTGCTGATTGGCGAAAGATTTTCTTTCTCTGGAGTCCTGAGATAGCCCGGCTAGAGCGTTCTCCATTTGGATTGAAGACAGTGACTTTTGTCCCAGACAACTCCTGTACTAATTTCCCGACCCCGGAGGGATGACAGGCTTGCTTGGCCGGCCCGGAGAGGAATCGAACTAGCACCTTGCTCGTGATGACGGGTCTCACTACCACTGTTCTATCCGCCCCTTTTGTTAACATTATTATTATTATTACTATCGCCATTGTAAATGCCCTTATTGGGCAAACACGAGTTGCTACTTT